CAACAATACTTTTGTTTACTACAGGTAATAGTTTTTTTAAAACAAGTGTACTGTGTTATTGTTGAAATTTATCGCCAACAAGTCACAGACACCTACTGTAAAGAATCCGGCCTACAAAACCTGACAGTATCAATACGGCTTCGGACTTCCAATCACAAAGTGTCAACAGAAACCACTGCATGTGAGTATTTCAAACGAAAAAATGCTAATGCTTCATCAGAAGAATTTATACTATGTAGAAAACGTTAGATGTCATAAGCAGCTGCGTTATAACTATATAAAAATATTTTTTATACATCACAAAAATAGAGGGTTTGGCAGAACTCCCTCGAACCCTCTCTGCATACATGCATGAGAGTAACAGATATTTTATTTCTTGATGTTGAAATTCATATATGATGTAGCCTACAGAATACATAATTCTTCTCATCATTCATGGCATGTGCACGTTTCACTGACGTCAATGCCCCCCCCCCACGTAGCACTAATATATTAAAACAAGTCAAACGTATATACAAATGTTTGGTACACTGTTAGTTATCACAGTTGTATCCAGAGGTTTAAATAATTATATCTTTTTTTTTCGCCAAAGTCTGCATAAACTGGTTCAATTACTTTATGACAAAATTGACGAAACGAATTATTCTTCTCTGCTCTGTTATTACAATACAGTCTGTGATAATGTTTACTTTAAACATCGTCACTCTTTATCGCTAAAGTCACAATCTCGCAATATAGATCTAAATAATAATTTTTCGAAGCGTATTTATACTCTGACAGAAGTCTAGAACATTGCAACTGTAGCTCGGCAAATATAACATAATATGAAACTTAAGTTTCTCTTTTTCAGAAACTCGGGTCTCTATGCCCAGACATTTCTTTTTAGTTTGTTTCGTGCTATCTTTGTGAGAAACAAAGAAATTGTATTTCAACTAAGTAATTTCAATAAAGATAAGAAAACATTCAAGTTGTTAAGCATTCTAAAAATTAAATACCTTATTATACAAATTAGGTTTTACATCTGAGAAAAAACTGCCTTAATTATTCGCTATGGAAACTTTTTATTGTATTAAGTTTCCCTATTATTTTGTTTTAACTACACTTCGTTTATATATAGGAAAAACTACAGTTAAATGTATAAATGCAGGGCGCGACTCATTTCTCAAGGAACCTAAGGATACTAATTATGTTGTATTTCATGCGTCTTTTTTTTTTCGCGTGGTGATACATACGAAGTCCTTTAATGCAAACACAGGTTAATCCTAAAAATAGTTTGTAGTGGTGTTTTTAGTCTACTTTTCCTTTATTTAAAAGAGGGTGAGGGCCTCAATGGTATGTGGTTTCACCCTGTTTATGATAATACCGCAATTCTTAATATTAAATTCAGTAACGCGAAAGTTAGAGTGTTGTTAGTTATTGTTAAAGTACAAGTACCCTACCCAAAAGTAAGTTCTAGTGTTGTCTTCAAATAATTTTTTCTGATTTTTTTTTTGTCGAGTTTAGTTTCGTCTACAACTTAGAATCAGTGTAGATGTAATTAATATCTCTGAGTTATTCATACTATTTTAAACGTTTCATAGAAATTGTGTAATCGACATCGCTTGTCAGGGATAAAAATATCAAATAAATCATTTATTTTTATGCATGCCTCTGGCTGGTTCAAAGGCAAGTCTGAGGAACGTTTATGCTAAATTGGTTCGATAATCGCGGCGAGCAGAGCACTGATAGCCCATTGTCTAGCTTATCAAAAACAATCAAACACCAAATAAACAATTTTTATGTACACAGTATTTATTAAAATAAGCCCGTAGGTAATGTTAAAACAGATGTATTGATTTAAAATGTTTTTGTTTTTTATTATTTTATTTTTGAAACTATATAACTACAGTTTTTAATGTCACAAATTATTATGTAATTTGATGAATGCTTAGCAGAAATTCATCAATATTTTTGTATGTTGTATGCACCTTTATTCACTTATCTTGGCTCTGGGTAGACGAACAGGAAATTGGAAATCTTGTCAAAGCTGTTACAACATCTCTAAAGCCATTTTGTGAAGTTGTCGTGTTTCATCTTTATAAGAAGGACATTTCAGAATGATAGTCTTATACTCAGAATTGAAGCATATACCTGTCTAGATATCGGGAAACATATCTCAAGGGTCTACAAAAAGAGAGTTTGTGTTACCATAGCAACCGCAGGTCTTCCTGAATATGAACTAGCACCAGCAATACTCTGAGCTCGAACTTCGTGCTGAATGATACGATTTTTATTTAATAAAGAATAATGACAACCTAGGACTTAGAAAGGACTCGTAAGTCACCACACGGCATTTCTATTGATCAGACACAAACAATCTGGTGGTACGTTGAACGTTTCATCAATTTTTCATAGTCATATGGATTACTCGTAAGTTATTTATTACTCTAAAACTCTCAAGTGCTATTTTTCTTAGACGAGCAACCAGTGGATTGTTGAATGTGATAAGTCGTATTCAGTTGGTATCCGAAAATCTAAACTATCACTCAT